CATCAGTCCTTCTCTGCAAGGACACCTGTTCTTACTAATTTATGGTGAGAAAATAATGATGCTTAACCTTTGGGGAGGTGGGGTCACAGATCTTCTGAGAGTTTGATGGAGACTATGGGTTCTAGCCCCAGAAATATACAGCACAAGCTTTCATGTACTCACAAATTCACATGGTTTCCCAGATACCTGAAGCCTGTCTGAAGACTCCAGAGTCAGACCGCTTGGATCACCTTATATCCAAGGTGAGGGCCCTATAGGGCAACTGGTAGGGTCACTGTGGTGGGACTGAGAGTCTCCCATGGCCCTCCTGTAGACCCAGGCCAATGTGGAAATTGCTTTATTTACCTGTGGAGAGAGAGAGTGTGTGTGTGTGTGTGTGTGTGTGTGTGTGTGTGTGTGTGTGTGTGTGTGTTGATCACTCTGTTTATCTTATCTTTATCTTCACCCCCGGACAGATATCCCTCTTATTGCCTAACCTCTCTTTTAGTTGCACTATCCCATGCAATTGACTGCCTCCCTGATAACACAGGATCTAATATTTGTTTAGAGATTTACTGCTTACAAAACCCTTACACACTCATTGCCTCTTGTCTTTCTCACAACCATCACGGTAGCAGATNTGTATCCGAAGCCCCACCCACTGACCAATGAGAAGAGACACGAGGAGAAAGGGCGGGGCAAAGAGAAGACTGGGGACGCCCCTGTGCTGGCTGTTCCGAGAGCTTGGTGCTCCTCCTTCCGCCAGAGCAAGCGAGGAGCCGAGGCCTTGAGTACAGCAGCCCGGGGGGAGGAGGGAAGATGACCGGAATGTCCTGCTGAAAACTCAGCTGAGTTCCTGGCAGTGCGTGACGTCAAGACACTTTAAATGCCCCTGGTACGGCTCCCCTTTTCCCGGCCCTTGGCACCACGTGGGGGCCAAGTTGAGAGCCTCTTGCCACGTGGGAGTCAGCCAGTTAGACTGTCCCCAGGTATCACCGTATCCTGAGGGGGCCCAACTCCTGAACTGGGTTTCTGGGGACAGCAGATGAACATGGGTGACTCCCGCCTGCTTTGAACTTCAGTTTCTGCGTGAGTAGGGACACACACCCGGAAACATGACGTGGAAATAGAGTAATTACTAGAGTGCGTGGGGAGAGGCTGGTGGATTTAACCCCGTGCTCTGTTCCATCGCTTCCAGCCTCAAACGCCAACGGCCAGCCCCATGGGCCGGTACAGGAGAAAGCAGAAGACAGTAGAGATGAAGGCTTGACGCGTACATATATGACTTGAGATTTTATGCATCCGAGTTGAAATATTTGAAATAGTCTGCCTTTTTCTTTTCCACCACGCCTACTTGATATACCAGTCTCACTGTATTGAAGCCATAGGAAATGTACACATTCTGCCTTACCTAATAATGAACTTTGCATAACGGAGTGATGTGTGTGTGTGTGTGTGTGCTGATACTATGAGGGTTTTTAAAACATCAGTTGTTAGTATTTGTGTTTGTTGTGTTCATACAAGGAGGTATAAAGACAAAATCTAAAAAGGGCTCATTATCTCACCACGCAGATAACTGTTAATGACAATTTTTTCAATAAAACTAATACATGTTCATGTATTAGTTCAGAAATGTCAAAAATTAAAAACAAAAATCTTCTCCATCCCTCATCAGTCCTTCTCTGCAAGGACACCTGTTCTTACTAATTTATGGTGAGAAAATAATGATG